AGGGAACGACCCAAGGATAACCACAGCATCAGGGATGAAGGTGACTATTTAATATTCAGATGCTATAGGAATCTGGCGACCATATGTATCAATGAGAGTGCGTATGTGAAGATGCATGTGGTCTTGGGAAGTCTATATACTAATCTGCGCTATGGCTGTAGTTGTTCCGTCGGCACCTCCAGTTGTTGAAGATGAAGACTCGTACTAATGGACGACCATATTGCAGCGGTGGCGCGAAAAAGCGGAACAGTTGGCAGCCTCGTGGCAATATGAAACGGAACCCGGATAAACATTTAATCCGAGTCTACCACCGAGCCTGCCCCCTTATCCAACTTGCTGACCTGAACATTCATTGATCCTCCCTCGTCTATCCCAGCTTTCTACCCAGTGCCAGACCAATATACTTATGGGAAAGATCACTTCGCGCCTCCAGGACATATATAGGAGCGGACGAGAAGTAATAGAACCGATGACCAAGTGAAGTGGTTAGTGACAGTCCGTTATCATCTCCCGCTGTGGTCCGCCCCGTGTCAGCTTTGCAGAGATATATGCCAGAGCCTTCGGATTGTCCAATCCCATATTGCATTGTTTTCTTCAATACCGTCATACGAGAGTCAGAGCGTTGAAAACGGTTTAGTGTTTCCCACAACGAAGACTTTAATGGACGTGGTCTTCATCACTTCATGGCCAACAGATGTCCAATACAAGTCGTTTCACCTTGATGGGAGGAGAACTGCTGCTGAAGAATCAACAAATTTGGAGGATCAGTTAGCATTCAAAGATGCATGAGATCGAACTTGACACGCTCACGGGAGCGCCCCTCCCGCTACGTCGCGCATCCTATCAGTCAGATGATGCAGCGCGGCGACAACTAAGTGACGGGCTCCGTCGGACCAGCATCTCTGAGATGCTGGATGTATCAGGTAAGCCGAGGCGTACATTCTGATCGAGTAGACTTGTTGCATCTGACCATCTTGATAGAGGATAAGCCCCTGATGTCTCCCAACGTGCCCGATGAGGACACCGTCTATCCCACCCAGGAGGAGCTGGAGACTCTTCCTCGCGTCGCGGATACGATCCCTTGGCGCGTCTACACGGTCGCCTTCGTGGAACTGTGCGAACGCTTTTCTTACTACGGCACGCAAATACTGTTCCAGAACTTCGTCCAACGGAGGCTCCTCACGCCGACCGGTCGAGCCCCCAATCCTGGCGGCGACACGGACAACAACCCTGGCGCGCTGGGCCAGGGCCAGCAGATGGCTACTGGTCTTGGGACTTTCTTCTCCTTTTGGTGCTATGTGACACCCCTGTTAGGGGCATGGTTGGCGGATACTTATCTTGGAAGGTAATACTCGCCCCCGGAGCGTAGATTATCTATGGCAACAGCTAACGCAGGCCTTGCCCAGATACAAGACGATCATGTTGTCGATTGCCATCGCAGTCCTCGGCCACGTCCTTCTTACCATCAGTGCGTTGCCGCCTGTCCTAGCGCGCACCGACGTTGCCCTCGTCTCCTTCATTATCGCGCTCGTCGTCTTCGGCCTCGGGACGGGAGGCTTCAAACCGAACATCTCGCCTCTGATCGCAGAGCAGATTGTTTCCGAGAAGCTCCGCGTGTCTATCAACTCTAAGAGCGGAGAGCGTGTGATCATCGACCCAGCCCAGACGTCGGCGAGGATATACAACTGGTTCTACCTCTTCATCAACATCGGCGCCTTGATAGGCCAGATTTCCATGTCATACGCCGCGCTGTATGTCGGATACTACCTCGCGTTCCTGCTACCGACGCTGATGTTCCTCCTGTGCCCCCTCATCCTGATCCTCAACAAGAAGAACTACCGCCTCACCCCTCCGCAAGGCTCCGTTCTGGGCCCGGCTATCAACATGCTCCTCTACGCCATCCGGCCCCATTGGTCGTGGAACCCTCTTCGCGCAATCAGCAATGTCCGCAAGACTACCACGTTCTGGACCGCCGTACAACCCTCGCACATCGCACCCCACAAGCGTCCGTCCTGGATGACATTTGACGACGCGTGGGTCTCCGAACTCCGCCGCGGCGTCAAAGCCTGCTCCGTCCTCCTCTGGTTCCCGCTGTACTGGCTCACGTATAACCAGATGAACAACAATCTCACCTCACAGGCCGACACGATGAAACATGCCGGTGTGCCTCCGGAGATTGTCTCGAATTTAGATCCTCTGGCTCTGATAATTTTGATCCCGATATGTGATTTGCTGATTTACCCCAGTCTTAGGAAACGGGGCGTGAAGTTGACACCGATCAGGAAGATCACGCTGGGATTCTGGCTTGGGGGCGCCGCCATGGTCTATGCGGCATTCCTGCAGAGGTACATATATATGCACAACGAGTGTGGATATTATCCCTCCGAAGGGCAAGACCTCCCCGGCAGCGGCGGCCGCAGTGGTGGCAGAGATTGTCCGCCGGCTTCCATTTCAATAGCCTACCAAGCACCAATCTACCTCCTCGTCGCGATCAGTGAAATCCTGGCCAGCATCACCTCGATCGAGTACGCATTCACCAAGGCGCCGCGCAACATGCGCTCCATGGTGCAAGCATTCTCGCTCTGCATGAGCGCCGTGGCGAACGTGATTGGCGAAGGGTTTCTGTGGCTGGCGAGAGACCCGTATCTGGTGTGGAATTTCGGAGTCATGGGCGTGGTGGCCTTTTTCGCGGGGTGTATGTTTTGGTGGTTCAACAGGGGATTGGATGTTGAGGAAGACGCGATGAATCAGTTGCCGGAGGGCAGGATTGGGGGTGCCAAAAACGGCGAGGGATGGGGCCGGACGAGTGCAGGAGAGGACGGACAGGTACCCAACCCTGAGGGTAGCGACTCTGGTCGTGGTGTCGATGATACAAGTTGGAGTGATCTGGGTGAGGCTTCTGACGGATCCCACGAGAGTTTACTGGGCAATAAAGCTGCACTGAGTGGCGAGGGGAGCCAGCACCCATGACTTACTGGCAAAGTCGACTTGGAAATGCAAAAACATTGCCTATTGTGATCGACCATTGAATGTTAGAGAGGCGTTGCGCATCAAAGGAGCTGGATTCCCGAGATAGGTCACAATGTCCCAAACTCCAGCGGGCGATCTTGTTGGATTGCTGAGCGTAGGATTCGAGAACGCGACAGGAAGACCCCGCAAAGGAATATAACATGGATAGCCGTCTCGGCGAAACAGTGTTGATTGTTGCGAGCTGCAGGACCTCTGCAACTCTTTCTGCATTGCAATTATCTGGTAATGGTCCACATCTTCGAATTCGCAGAGTTCGAATCTCTTGGATGTCAGCGAGTTTCTTTGCGCCATATAGCAACCCGTGTATCCAATGTTCTTCTACAAACATTGTTTGATGAAATTTGTTTTCAGATGGGCCATTGTCCAAAATAACCCATCCACATACTGCTCTGTTTCTCCTAAAACGTATGGGAGCGCGTGTCGAGGGTATTCATTCAGATAGACTCGGTCTCCCTGTCCGCCTTCTCCCCCCATACACAACGCCTGAATCATTAAAAGAATCAGGTTTGTCTTGCTTAAGGAGCCCTTCATCTGGTCGGGTCGACTGTCTAGGAGCGATGCGTTACTGGTCAGACGAGACTCCGGGCTCGGGTTATCCGACATCTCCATTGTCCCCGATGTCATTATTCGACAACGTCCGGGCAAACCCCTTCTTAAAACTCACCGAAGGCGGACAGGGCAAACATGAGGCCGAAGCTGATTTTGAAGGCCAAGTTGTCATTCATTGCACTACGCAGATTGATATTCTTGAAGTATCGCTGCAAGCGATCCACCGGTATAATATTGTATCCTTTCCGCGTGGCAAGCTGCCAGATTACAATTCCCAGTCCGATCAGGAATGTCAAGCTCGTAGAAAAAGCTGAGACAACTAGTCCCGCAGCCAACCCCAGAATAGAACCCAGGCTTATTTGCTTAACAGCGGCAGGATTGATTGTCTTGCCGTCTTTTGTAAGAGGAACTTTGGGATCGCGGGATTGTGAGGAGGGGGTGCTGCTAAACTCTGCGGCTCCAAGGGGGGGCGGTGAGTAGGGCGAAGAGTCGAGCCGGATGATGGATGAAGGCTGTATGAACGGAAGGGAAGCTGTGAGGCCAAATGCGATGAGGACAGGGCGCTTGAAAGCTGGACGTGGTAGAGGAGCGGATATAGGTCTCAATGCCGAAGGAAAGGCGAGGGATGGTCGTAGGACGGTTCGCAGTAGCATAGTGCTTGACTGAAGAGAACCCTAGTTCCGACGAGTGGAACGACAACCAAGACTCTGGGACTCGGCAGGAGAGGTGGGCTAATCGAGGCACCGGCAGGAAGAGTGGCTGCTTGGGATTGCTAGGACGTGAAAAGCAGTTGGACGGCAACGCAGACACAAGGAAAGGGAGAAGATGAGGTTTGGATGAGGTCGAAGTCCAATTGGGGGGGGGGTGATGTCATTGCCCACCGCAGCCCGCTGGTAGAGACACCAGAGAGAGCGTCCCCACGCCGCTGGCCAGGCCACCCTCATACCACCCGTACTGGCTAATAAATTACCTCCCACAACGGCTTACGAGATCCTTTGCAAGCACCAACTGCAGTCATTTGTCTACTTGGTAGGCTCACTAGGTGGCCGAGGTTCTTCCACCGTGACAGCGTTCCCTTTTCCCGAGCCACTGCCAGGTCCCCGTACCCGGCTGCCGGAGCTCAGAAACATGTGTCCTCCCGGCTCCTAGTCCCCTTCACGTCTTCCCGACGCACGAATGCGAACCCCTTGCTGACCTCTTGGTGGGGGGCCCGACTATTGGCTGTCCAGGCCATCAATGTCCTTATCCATCCCGCAATGTGAGATCAGTGGAGTCTGGGGAAAGGGGGTATTTCCGGATCCTGGGTCGTATATATCGACGATGGTAAGACGACCTCCGACGAGCCTACGCATCATTCAACAGACCAAGTCTTACCGATTCATCACCGGACTTGCAGCCTATTCCCAGAGACCAACGCCGATATGTCAAGCTCCGTAGTTGTCAATGGCGTGCCGGAGATCAAGTCGAAAGTGGTGGAAACGCCTCTCCTCATTGTCGGTGCGGGGCCAGCTGGTGGCTCGTTGGCATGTTTCCTCTCCTATCCGCCCTATTCAATGACAGGGATCATGATATCTGCTGCAACTACAACGTCACAGACACCGAGAGCACACATTACGAATCCAGCCGCCTTTGAATGTCTCCGAGACATCGATTTGGAGCAGACTTGTCTCGCTCAGGCAGTTGAGGGCGACTGTATGGTCCACACCCGCTGGTGCCATGATATGACCGGCGAAGAATATGCCCGAATCTATTCCTGGGGCAATGACCCAAAAAGACACGGAGAGTATGAAGCAGCTACCCCTTGTCATCATGTGGATTTGCCTCAAACGATTTTTGAGCCTATTCTGGTTCAGAGAGCGTCAGCTCAAGGATGGGATGTCAGATTTCGAACAAGCTTCGTCGACTTCAAGAAAGAAGATGACGGCAGAGTCCTCAGTCGTGTACGGGACGAACTGACCGGGACCGAATACTACATCCGCTCCCAATACCTATTTGGATGTGATGGAGCAAGGAGTCAAGTCTTGCGAGAGCTCAAGATTCCTTTGATCAAGAAGCCGGGCCAAGGGTTGGCCTTGAATGTCTTGGTCAAAGTGGATCTGAGTGACTATGTCGAGGCCAGGAAGGGAAACCTGCACTGGGTGTTTCAACCTGAAAAAGAATATCCAGATTTTGCCTGGAGCGGATTGATTAGAATGGTCAAACCGTGGCACGAGTAAGCGAGACCCTGAATTCTTTCAACCGATAGCCACTAATCAAGGTTTCCAGATGGATGTTCATTCTCTTTCCCAAGCCTGGAACAGAGTGGAAAGAGCCTACCCGCCAACAGTACGTGCAAAGATGCAAGGAAATCGTTGGCCGAGACGATCTTCCCTTGGAAATCCTCGATATCTCGAAATGGTACATCAACGAAATTGTGGCAGAGTATTACTCCGAAGGCAACGTCTTCTGCCTAGGCGACGCCGTGCACAGACATCCTCCATTCAATGGCCTCGGTTCCAACACCTGCATTCAAGACGCGTTCAACCTGGCATGGAAGATCAAATACGTCGCTCAAGGCCTAGCATCTCCCTCAATTCTAGAAACATTCAGTCAAGAACGGCAACCCGTAGGCTTGGGCGTGATAACCCGTGCGAACCAGGGTATCCGGGATCACGTTCCTGTCTGGAAAGAAATGGGTCTCATGGAGGAGACAATAGAGAAGAGAATGAAGATTTTCAACAGCCTGAAAACAGCCACACCCGAAGCCCGAGATCGGAGAAAACGAGTCAATGCAGCGATCGAAGGGACAAGTCACGAATTCCACGGTATCGGCGTAGAGATGAATCACCGATATGATTCAACAGCCGTCTACCTCGACGACGAAATCAAGGCGAATACTCCAAAGCCTGAATGGCCTGAAGACCCAATCTTGCATCATAGAGTCAGCACTTACCCGGGCCACAGGCTTCCTCATGTGTGGTTGAACCGGACCATGCCGGCCAAGGATCATACCTCAACGATTGATTTAGCGGGACATGGGCGGTTCTGCCTGCTTACTGGTATCGGGGGCGAAAAGTGGATTGAGGCGGCAGAAAAGGTTGCTCAGGAGCTCGGAGTGGAGATCAATGCCCACACGATCGGATGGGGACAGGAATGGATCGATGTTTATCGTGACTGGTAAGTTCTCTGAAGATTTCAACTGATTATTAACTCCGTGCTGATTGGCATTGTGAATAGGGAACGGAAAAGAGAAGTTGAGGAAGACGGATGTGTACTTGTTAGACCTGATCGGTTTGTTGCCTGGAGATCAATGGGTCTGCAGGGTGACTGTGCTGAGAAGCTGAGCGAGGTCCTGAAGAAAGTTCTCGGACGGTCATAGCTATGAACTGGTCAATTCATTCTTGCGTTTGACATTTTCGCTCTCAAATGGGCGTCTGGAGCGGCCTTAGGGAGGCAATGAATCGAGGCTATACATTTGAAGCACTCGGTCTGCGTCGCACGACTTGTAGAAATTATCAAATTGAACTGGTTCTCCTCGAAGGGAACATTCGATCAACTTAACCCTGCGAAGTATAGAGAGTCCATGGAAGCTTGTTACGGAGTAGAGACTACAAAATGCATAGCTTCAATCACGTAGGAACCTATGGTGATTTGTTGCGTGCCTACCTCGTACATACTGGTTTCATTCGATAGTATCCACCTTCTCTCACAGACCCACCAGCCCAACATCGTAATATATATAACTAAACCCCCAAAAGGCAGTCAAGAATTCATCCACAGAAAATTCGAACATGACCTCAGCCGCAGTCTTCCTCTAGAGTTCACCCTCGAGATGAAGGCGTGGGAATAAGATAGCAAGATTGGTTCAATGGTAGAATTCATCGTTGCCATCGATGAGACCCGTGTTCGATTCACGGATCTTGCACAGCCTATGCTTTTTGTTCCTTTTGGCAAAATTATGGAATGTTTTTGTGAGGGAGTCCTGGCCACTCTGGCTGTGGGTATCGATTGTACGTATTCAAGAATTTAGTGAGTCTGACGGTGCATGGAAAGGAGCCCAGGGAGGCAACAGGGTGTGTCGTTAGAGGAAGACACTCCGGTCCTTGCACTGTATTGCCGCCATCCTAGAACTCATCTGGAAAGGCAGTAGGATCGGTGTGGATTGGCAGAGCGGGATATCTGGAGCTGAGGCAAGCGGGAAATCAAAAGAAAAAAAATTCTTCTTCCGCAATTCCACGTAAGTAGGATCCACACAACGCCGTGGCGGCGACCATATACGACCGCCGCCTCCCTTTCTCCATCAGATGATTGAGGCGGGGCCAAAAGAGAACGTTTTCTTTATCTTACGAAGCTGCAAATACCTCCAAACGAAGGATCAGGTAAAAGATTGCTTGGCTATCATGCTGGAAAGAGCAACTGAGAGCAGCCGAGGTTGACATGGAGGGAAAAAGCCAAGAAAATCCCCACCAGGGGGTATTTCCGTACACTAGCTTCTTCAGGCATAGTGGGCGGAATATGGAAACGGCGAGACGGCTTCTTCCCATATCCGCCAGATACACTCTGTACGTTGGTCTTTGTACGGGATCCGATCAGCAAACAACTTACGAGTATGTACAGTAGCGCCAGAAGATGGCCCGACTTGCTCGAGCCTGTTGTCCCTGGTCGCAGCGGGTGCGCGGTCCCCTTTCTCTCACCCTAGGCGAACCTTCCTCCACAGCCTCAAGCACTCCAGCATATCCGCTCCCACCTTCCCCATGGCCGCATTGTTCGAGCTCATCGCGTCTGCCACGACAGCTACAAGGGCAACGGCGAAGCAAAACGCTACTTTGTCCTTATCTTTCTCCAGCAGATGGAACTGCTGTGTCTTCATGCCTCCTGCTGCCGCCCAGGCCATCCATTCGTCCAGTATTCCAACGATCCTCATCGCTTCTCCCATTTCCTCTTCCGCTTTCCCATCCTCGTTCTGATTTCTGCTTCGACCCTGCGGATCCACCACCATCAAATAGCAAACCGCCTCTGCCAAGTCGTGCACAGTCCATTCCTTGCCCACTTCCCCCCTCTCGATCAGCCAAATCAGACATGCTTCACTGACCCGCTTGACATCCATCCTCGGACTCGCAATCGCGTCCTTGATCCGCCTTTCTTCCCGCTCCCGTCTCGCTGCGAGAGATGCTATCATCTCATTGTGCTGTTGCTGTCTCTCATTCGTCTCCCTGTTCATCTTGTGGATTCGAGCTTGTTCAGGTGGCATCGTGGCCTCCAATCTCTCTGCAGCCAGACGAGCTTGAAGCCATGAGTGGTGTTGTCGCGCCCGATTCATGGCGTCGTTGTGATCATCCTTTTGATATGACCACTGTGGTGCGTCGTTTTCGGAAAGGAGACCAAGGAGAACCATGACGCCGCATGGGATTGAGTCTTTCCGCACGAAGGTTTTGACCTCTGTGGGAGTCTCGAATGCCCAGAGACCACCGCTAGTGGAAGTCTTGCGGGCAAGCAAAGCTGACGCCGCGCAGGTAAACCATAATCCTGCCGAGGATTGCTCGTAGTTTCGGAACGGTTCGCATATGAAGCCCGTTTCGACGTTCTTGCGTTCCCAGAGGAGTCTTTGTACGCGGTTATCTTCGGTGTGAAACCGGAAGCTGGTGCTGTCCATACTGTGTTTGTTTGCCGACTTCAACCCCTCGATCCGCGCCGGTAAATCTTTCTCATTTTCTTTGCATTTCTCATTAACTTCGAGGAGAGCGGGTTGAGTCAATCGTCCCCAGCCCGGAGGAAGGCTTTCTGCTCCTCTCGCCTCTCTAACAGATGTCGTCTCGTCTCGCGTCCATCGAATCGTTAGACTTAATATCCCATCACTCTCGTCAGGCATGCTCGTTCTCAGCACCCAATCCGCGCCCCTTCCTCTTCTTTTACCGCTTTCGTCAGCATCCAAGCTATCATCCTCAGGCTTCTTCAACAACACCGTCCCGCTCGGCGTCCACAATCCTCCACTCCTCAATTTCTCCCAGCCCATTCCTTCTGGCACAGCACCCCAATCTAACAAAAACACCACCAGTTCCTCAAAGCCCACCTCCGCAGGCGGCTCCCTCAATTCATCCTCGTATTGTATCCTATACAATTTCTTCCCCACGATAAGTTTTTTCCAATGAAAGCCACGCCAGCTGCCACCCCGCAAAAACCCGCGTACGCGCCCTTCTTCAATCATAGACAGAGTACTCTCTGCGCGATCCAGTGTTAGGAGATGGTGATGTTCTTCTGATGCCTCTTTTCCCTCGGTCGTGGTTTTCCAATAATCTTCATCGCCGCGCTCGAGGGGAGCAATAGTGTAGCGAGGCAGTTCGACTTCAATGAGACTGGTCATTGGGGAGCTGCGGATGGTGAAGCCATCGTGTGGACGTGTCGTGCTGACGGGTCTATGGCCATGGTGGACGAGGGCGGCGCGGATTCGGCGCTGCGTAAGGACAGCGAGCATAAAAGTGTACAGGATGGGAAGAACACCTAGCACGGCGAGCGGCACGCCGATGTATGTTATGACGTCCGATGCGTTGGCCATGATGTGCTGCTCTGAGCCACGGAGTCGCCTCTAGAGGACAGTTTGTCGGGGATCCTCACGCTTGGGGAAAGTCAAGGAGGCCTCCAGTCGCCTCTCATAGAATATACTGAGAGATGCAAGCCAGGCTGCATGACCGAGTCATGGCTCGGAAGCGGGTCGCTGCTGGAGTGAGAGCTCATGACTGACAATTTTGAAGACGATCTAGGTGGGCGGCGCAGTTTAACCACGGGGAGTACGGAGGAGTTAGGCTAAGATCAAATTGATTATTCGGGGCCCAGTGGCAGGAAAAGGGGTAAACCAGGGGGACTGAGGTAGTTTCAGCCTTGTCAGCCTTGTCTCAATCCAACGTGCATTTAACAGTTTAAAGGGTGGGAACGGAAAATTATATCTCCGGCATTCTTGTCCCATTGAAAGTTAACGTCGGCCACTTTCGAGGTGTTTTCAGCTGGATGCCAATTCTGCATATCGATCACATAGCTAATTCGGACGCTGTCATCTCTTAGAGAGAATAGATACCGCCGGCTCGTAACACACTCCCTCGTACATCGTGAACTTGTTTACATCATCTTGTCCAAGGTCTACTTGGCAGCCCCAGCACAGGAAATTGACCATCTTAGACAAGAGAGGAATAGAGTTCTTTTGCGTTGGCAGAAAAAAATGACTTTGAACAATCAAGCTAGATGATATTTATTGGATTGTGATCAAGTGGACACGCCAGAGAATCTTCCATTCTCGTCTAGCACCGTTTCCTTTGTTTGTGCGCGATTCTGGATGTAGCGACACTCGGGGCTCGGTGATACCTCCACATTGCAGAAACCACGGGATGCCTCTTCGGTTTGTCAAGGCGCTCCATGCGCAGAGCCTGGTTGCTTGGGTCATGCTCTACCTCTGCCGGATACTCATTCCTTCAGATTGAGTATTATAGGTATACCTCAATGTAAGGATGGGACTTCATTTTGGTTACCCTATCCACCTTTATGTAGGGTAAAGAATGTTGCTAGGGTAGTGGGCTCAGGTATCTTTCTTGCTCCTGTTCGCCGAGTCTCTGTTTAGTTGATTTTCCGGTAGAACGCTAGCAAATCCATGGTGTCCTGTAAATAGTCCCTTGGGATCATATTTTTCTCGAATACTGAGCCACTTTCGAAGTGCTGAATCAGTCATGACCTAGTTCCGCAATGTCAGTGGTCGTTGCATATCTGCAGTGGGAATCTCGAAAAACCGACCCTAGATAGTCTTTGTTCCTTGTCGTAATCAGCCGCATATATCCCCACCGAGACCTTCTCAAGGTTCGCGTAAGTGTCTTTCATCCATTTGTCAACAACGTCGTCCTTGGCTGGATCTTGATAGCATACTAGAGTTGAGGTAGTGGATTTCTGCGAGAGGCTCGAAATGCCCTCATCGGTAGGCGCCAGAGAATCCATATCGGTGCGTGACGCCTGGATAGTCTTTGAACACTGAGAGCAATCATGCAAGCAACACCAGTCAGACCAGTTAAGATGATGGAGACTCCGCAAAAATTGTAGAGTAGCGTATCGAAGTTCCTCATGCTTTGCCCACTGAGAGCAACTTAGTGAGTGAAGATAGTGGCGGAAATATCGCTGCAAGGATCGTCAATCTCCCAGATTCATCGGCACTCTTGATCTCCTCGGCGAACAGTCGCTGCTCCCAATCTTCCTGAACAATGTCACGGAGATATTTTCGCAAATGCTCTTCCACATTCGCGCTGATTTCTGAGATCGAGAAGCTCATGTCGCAAGGCTGGTGTTGCTTGCCAATCCTCTTCTATCTCCAGGCTATTCATCACGTCGTCCATACTTCTCACCAGCTGCTCCACACTGGCTTTCGAAAGAAGGGAAAGTTGTCTATTCGTCAATACTTAGAAGGATCATGTCCCCCTCGTAATGCAGGTCGAATCCTAGCTGATTTAAATTCTATTTGAGCCAACCGGACCTAGACTCGGTCGTTAGAAACATCCTCTGGCGTATGCACCATGGAATGGCCACCTTGGTTAATTCGGCCTTACTGTTGTGGTGCAGCCGAGTCATTAGATTCCGTTGCAAAATTTACCGCGCCAGTGACATGCGCAATCCAGTAAGATTTGGATCCGAGACTGTCAGGGTTATATGACCGGTGAAATCTGGCGTGAGCTCGTGAGGATGTTAGTAGTGTAGACTTAAATTAGTTTAAGGGAAATGGGGTCTGATATCGGGAAAATGTTCACGGAGTAAGCTATCTCCCCTGATCGGGAATAACTGTCCCATAGTTTTGTGAAAGTGGTTGAACGACGTGGAATGAGTGGGATTCTAAGGAGGAAGTCCTCTACTATGGCATCCATGTCGCAGAATTTTGTGACTGTAAGCGTTGACGGTGCTTGGGTCCCGGGGGCCACAGGGAATGGGGATATCAGTGACTTCGAGCCACACGGTCTGATCTGATATTTTCCCCTTTGCATTTGGCGAGGCCGACTGGGGTCTGCACCGGTATGTGGTGCGTTCCTACCTCGCACCTCCGTCTGGCGAGGCCAGGCTAGCCCCGGTGGCTTGGCACGCTGGTGCCTTACAGATAGGCGAGAGTATTCTCACCTAGATAGCGAATACCATGCATTGGCAGAGTCTTCGATTCCCCTCCCAACAGAGACGTCTGGTCATCGAATCTGGAAAAGGAGCAAATGCTTGATTTTGATCCTTTTTGATTTGCGCCATACGTCCATGTTTCTGCCCTGCTCCTCTAGCCCGACCAGTGTGAGCAAGATAGCATAGGCGTAGACACCTGGTGCTGGTGTTGATGCTTCTCAAACTCCCTCCACTTCTCATTTTCCTCAGTTCCGTGAATACTTGTATGCTCTTGATGTGGTTGTTATTTGCATAACATCTTGAAAACATTTGTGACGGCAACGAGCGTTTGTGTTATCACTTGATGTAGCCCAGATCGCGAAATGCCCTGTCCAAGATCTCTCGTACTATTTTGTCCTTTCGTAGGGTGTATTCTTGCATTGACTCGCCTGCTTCCTCGGAAGCAGCAGCACACTCACGTTTGACGGTCGCATATAGCTGTAGGTCCTTTGGTGACTTGGAGAGCCATTCGCGGAAAATCCGGTGCCTCTCGACCTCAGGGCAATCCGGCCCAAAGACGTGGAGATTGATAGGATATGCACCAGGGCGGTTTCCCTCGTCAACAAAATAGCGATGTTGATGCCAGTCTGGCTCGCGTAAGAGGAATAGAAAGCCCAAGCCCTCGAGAGCCCCCACGTAAGAGTTCTCGTCCTTGATGTCCTTTACTACCAGATCGACGTCAATAATATCCTTTGCCGGCAGACCTGGGACACTGGTGGATCCTGCATGAAAAATGGCGACCGCGTTCGAGCCTAGCACAGCTTCAATCCGCGCTTTGGTGTCTAAGAATCGTTGCGGCCACGCCGCATTGGGCTCGACAATGGCTATCTTTAGTCTAGACTTGCGCTTGTTCACCCATTCCGTGGAACTCCCATCGTCATCGTAGTTCCTGACAATGTCCTCGGGAGAAAGTGGCATCGTGAGTCCAAGTGGCCGGTTTTAAAGGATTTCTTTGCATGTGCGGTGAGCAGTATCTCGGCAACGGAATAATTCTGCACATTCTTGGCGACTCCGCTCGCCAATTTTGAGTGTGTGCGCTCATCCAAGATTTAGTCTATTACGGTATTACGATCACTGTCATGAGCCTTCTTGCGAGAATTCGTCTATAATCACAGTCTCGCTTAGAATGAGACCCGACAGGCTCAATTGATCAGTAGTGGTCAAGGGACCTATCTCCGCACCTAGGTAATCAACCTGACAATTGTCCTTCTGACACATCCTCACTCGCTGGCACATATCCGCGGCTTCGTGTATGCGAGCCGAGAGCGAGGAAGCGAATTGCAAAACGCCACACAGCATCAGCTTCGTCTGATCCTGCTCTGTGCGGCCATTACCCACCACTGTCTTTCGTACCCAACTCAGCCGCATCTCGATGCAGAATGGGCACAGGGAAATTTGATGCGACCTGGGTGCATCTTGAGGTGTGGGGAAGTGGAGGCTGCGGGTCCAGACTTCCTTGGGCCAACGCTATTACCTGTCTATCTCGCCATCCTTTGCAATGCTTCCCCCATCCGGTGTAAACCGAGGCGCGCTCTCGGGGAAAGCCCGATACCAGCCAGCATCTTTCAGAAACCCTGCGTGGATACTTCTGGCTAGTTTACCCTAACTAAAATGCTTCGTGTTCTTGTTATCTGCGCTGCGTGCGCGAGCGACACGGGTTTCCTGCACTATTAATGGAACCCAATCCCCTTGATGCAAATACTCCGTAGCGAATGAAGGATTTGAATTTCAAGATTCTGGGCGGCTTCCACCCTAAGTCTCCTGGACTCCGACCTTGGCTCAGCGTCATACAGATTCAGTTCTCCAGAATAGCTGATCGAGAATTGCGGCTTTGCACGCCTGCTCATGTCATTTCGTCTAAGAGGCGAGGCTACCCAGTCGGCAGTTATCAACGCGATTTTAAGACCGAAGAAAATGAGCATCCCATTTAAAAATGCTACAGCGCTGAACAGCGATATTACGGCTGGATGGATGCCTGGTGCACAGACCCGCGGAACCGCCAGTATCCTCTACAGCTGCATTATTACAATATCTCTATGCGTCTATACAGCGCTTCACTTAAACGTTCCTCCCCCTGGGGAAAAGCAAAGATGGCACATCTTGCGCCAAGCCAAGTGGATAGTGGTCGGTGTTTTCGCGCCAGAAATGGTCCTCTATTCGGCTTGGATTCAATATCGTGAAGCCAAAGGACTCATTCTTGATCTGGCAGAAGAATCCCGTCGTACTGAAGCTGTTCGCGCTGCATATCTTCCATCCTCGCAAAAGGATCAACCCCAAACCAGCCAAACCTGTGTCGTAACTGAGAACCAAGCCGACTTCGACATTACCTACGGATTTTATGCGGTTATGGGTGGCTTTAGAGTGGATGTCACCGACATATCCGAGGATATGCTATCAATTGCGCTCTTTCCCAGTATGATTAGAATTCTGGCGCGCCATGGTACATTTCTCCGAATAGACTCCACCACAATTAAAGACAAAAGCAAAGCCGACGTCCTCGCTAAATCACTGGTATCTCTCCAGGGCCTGTGGATGCTCGTTCAGTGTATAGCACGCAAAGCGTCGGGCTACCCTCTGACCATTTTGGAGATCCATACCTTTATCCACGTCATTTGTGCAGGCATCATGTATGCGATCTGGTTCAAGGTTGGTAATATGGCTTGAAAAAAAGGGAAATGGTGCTAATTCATGCCAACAACAAGAAACCGCTCAATGTTAACGAAGCTACCACGATTAACCTGCAAGAAGGAGACAAAGATCTTATCTCATGTGCCATACTTGTACTCGCCAAGGGCTGTTTCCGATACGAGAATCCGGTCGCCTCCGGAGAATATCTTTACTTCAGTCTCCGCAGTTTGTCACTGAACCTTCCGGCCGAATCACCACCCTCCACCTTGCTATTGCCGGAAGCGACTGCTTCGCGTGTTCCTGAGACTAAGTTTAGGCGGAATGGTGATTTCGCGGATGAAGCAATATTTTCACCACCCAGCTCCGTTATTCTTCAGCCTAGCTCTCTTTCATTACGAGGACTCGCGCCTCCCCAGCGCTATCGTGTACATCTCCCCCTCAGCGAAAGGGAACAAAAGATGTGCATTAAGGCCCAGAGCGCTGCAAGGAAGTTTGATGACGCCTCCATTCATCGTGCTCGAATGCGGAATAGGATTGGTATACGCTCTGCAAACCTTTTCGGCCAGTCCTCTGGAGTCACAATAAAAGGGTGGCTCAAAGTTTCCGAGGAGTTGCTCCGTGATGTGGAGGCTGACTTCAAGAAGAACCCACGGCTCCTTGCTGGGGCGATCCTTGTGCATACAGCGTACGGTGGTGTGCATATGGCTGCATGGAACTCGTACTTTCCGACCAGCAAAGAGAAATGGTATTGGAGAGCCTCGTGCATGATAATTGCCGGCATGGTTCCCTTGTATACTATTCTCTTGCTGATGTCTCACAAAAGATTTTCAATGATTCCCATTGGCCCTGACGGTGACTGGACCGCAAGAATCAAAATTCGGTTTTTGAGAGTGATCGTGAAGGCTATTCTGGCTCCATTGATCTTGGGTTACATTTACGTTTTCAACGCACTGATTGGGGGATATGTATTGGCACGAATATTCTTGGTTGTGGAATCATTGATTAGTTTGCGTAAAGTGCCTATTGGTGTTTACGCCACAGTTTCTTGGTTGAACTTTCTACCTCATTTCTAATGAATAGGTAGATGTTGAACGAAAGGTTGAGTTGTGGACCTGTCTGGTTGATTGCGTTCTGTCCCCCTGGCTATTCAGAGAGACTCTGCCTGTTTATATATATACATTGGCCTGTAACCACAAGAGCATTCCTGAAACCTCCTATTCCGTTGCCATCCTGTCACAGATCTGCAGGAACAACAGGGTTGAGGCAGTTTGCGCAGTTGGTGAAGCGTCTAGCGTCTCAGGTGGTTTGCCCCAATGGTGTTCTCGCGACCCTGTCAACAGTAGATATTGCAGGATTGGCGGGAGCATGATTGTTTTTGTTGTAAAGTCGTTGCCGGGAAATCCGCCTCCGGTTTAGGCGGCCGACCGCTTCGGGAATGGTCGCTGGCTGGGCGCGCCGCCGCTTTCAACGGCTATAAGAACCTCGTCTCCCATCACCATCCTCAACCCTCTCTCCCTCTCTTCTAACCTACTTTCTCTCTTCTCTCACCTCCGTTCGCCCTAGCGCACCTTATCGTACTTCACTTTAACACCGCCTAGATCCTCCCCTCTATAGTATCAGGCCTCTCATCGTTGATTATTCTCCCGGGTTCCCTTCCGAAATCGGCCTCGTTGCCGGAACTCTTCCTTATCGCTTCGGGCTCCCCTCGATTTTCTCTTCCGGCTCCTTTAAAATCTGCCTCGAATCTACCTCGTCTCTTTAAGTGCGCCTAGATTAGCCTCCTAATCCTCGATCTTCGCGACTCCCTTATACGTCTAATTTCTTTATAACGTAATTTAACTTCGCACACCGTGTAGGCTTAGCTAACCTCATCCGTTATTCACACCTCGACTAGGGGTCCTAATGATGTGAGTGTTGGCCTCGGCCTCGGTAAGTCTTCTTATGTTACCTTGCGAAGGTAAATCTACGTGATGGACTCCTATCTAGCGTTCGTTCTAGATCTGTAAAGACTCAGCGAGATTATCTTTACCGACAATAGGAAAATCGAACTTTCTCCGGGCGCCGTGGTAGGTACTTAACTCTCTATACTATATCATCGGGGCCGAGATTTTATGCCTTGACTTTTGGTGGACTAAGGCATGGAAGATGGCAGAACGCAGCGGATTCTTTGGCACAGGCCGGCGCTCTAAGCTGAGTGCCGCACCGGGTGTATCTAATCATGGAAATGCCGCACAAGGTGATCGGCAGTGTGTAAGCGCATTGCTGCCTGCGCTCCGCCTCGAAAATACAACGCTGAGGGGGCCGAGTCTTCCATTTCGGCCCTCAGAGGTTCCGAAGCAAAAGAGTCGGAAAAGAGTCGCCATCCGGCGATAGGGACACGTCAGCATGCTGCATGTGGATTCTTAACCGCTATCTCCTCGTTTGAGCTGAATGAAGTGCAGCGGTTCCTCGAGAGGAGTTTACGAATGGCGCTATGGAAAGAAAGTGAGATTTACAAGACACGATTTCGCTCGGACAGACGCAGATGTTAATTCTCCGTTACAGCCGATCCCCAATAGCGGATGGGCGTGTCCTTGTGAAGTTGGCCACCAATTCGAAGAAGACTGCAGGGTCGAACTAAGAACAACTGAAAGGCGGCTGTCTCGGCCCAGAGAGCATATTCTCGTCATCCTTGAACCCTCAGGACCTAGGAGAACGGGCCAACGCTCTATGTCGTCCTCTTATTCTCGAGACTACCGTCACCGGGGAGTTCGTCCCACCCTTAGAATAACGGCAGCGGTAGCCCCCTATCTCATGATGTTTCGGTGGTATTATCCGCTTCACTGCGTTGTCGTGATGGTCTTTCCTCTCCCCGCCTCAGGGGGCGTAGCCTAGAAACACCAACAGGAACTTTTGGTAGACCAGGATTTATACTCGTATTACGGATTCGGTTAAACATCGGAAGGAGGGACGTCTAATACATCGGAGAGTAATTAGGTCACTAGCTAAGAGACGCGACTCAAGAAGTGCATCCATATTACTAGCACACTCCCCGCATAAGAGGCGCACCCTTCCTTCTCCTATGCTTTGAGTCGTGTATAGTATCGACCATATACTATAGGGATATCTTATGTATACGCTTATCGTTAGATTCTGCCTACTTGCCAAGGAATCCCTAACACTCGTACTCTCACTAGAGGCGGTGATAGTAATGAGTGCAGTAATATTGGCATAGATTCAGATGCACTAGCATCTATTAGCCACATCCACGACGTCTTTACCGAATTTAAGAATCTCGGCTTAGCTAGGCGGAAGCAGAAGACGGTGGTTACGACTCTACGTGACTACGTAGATCGTGATGTAACAGCAGGCTCTATCCTAGGCCCTATCAGTTAGGGAGAGCCTCGGTCAGCTGCGAATGACAGCGTCGGGGGCATAGAGCAGCCTATAGAGGCTAGAAGTGATGATGTTAATTACAACTACTTATTAAAGAAAGAGATCGAGAATAGAACCACCTTCCAGTCGAGACAGGGGAGCGATGACCAAGAGACACAGACCGAGGATGCTAGGTCCTAGGGTGTTTCCCCATTAGCTAGCGACTATCACTCGAATAAGTTCTATATCGGCGCTGTTGAGTCTCATCCTAGTTCTGATATATTGAATCACAGAAAGTGCTAGTGCCTTCACAGAACCTCTACCGTCACCGCCTCCCATGGCCACGCATAAGGCTACTCGACCTAATCTTAGCGCTGACTCCTAAGGAGCACGGAATCGAAAACGAACTCGGCCACCTATCTAACACACTGTTCTCTCCGACGATGGCGCTCTTCATAAACGGCCTCGCCGCGTGAGAAAGGAGACGTGGAAGGTAAGAGAGGCTAGAGACGCACGGGAGGGGTTCGAGGCCAAGCCGTCTCATGCGTTGTTAAACCTACACCGGAAGAAATAGACTCACTTCGCTGACCCTAGTCCCGATAGGGGTAAAGCGGTTGGCAGGGTGGCAGACATTGAGGATGTCAATCTAGGAGAGGATGGTTGCATCCAGTGCCTTGTCGCATGGAAGTCATCGTTGATCGCGATGGAGAACCTTGTTGGCGAAGAACTACGGCGGCGATGCGAGAAGCTGTTCGGGAAGAGGTATGGCCACCAGGAGTTTTAATGGAGGCCGCTGCAACCAAGCGGCAGACCAAGAAGAGATGGAGGACATCCCAGTTTCCCCTTCATTTGCTTAGGAAGACGGGTTGGAAGAGAGAATGGCTATCCTTTGGGTACACGAGGATTTCACTACATATTGCGCATGGTCGTCGTAGACAGTGGCAGCTCCCCAGTGTACTTCTCGGATATATCTCTACATGAGATCCGTGTCCTCAGGTTTTGCAAGCCCCTCCATATCCAGCGCGGCACCGGCAGCTGCGTGGCAATTCGCCATCAGCATCCATTGAAGAACCTGCAGCCGCTACTTGACCTTAATGTTAGATGGTCCCGCTCCCCCTGCTCCCCCACCGCCAGTCTTCGGTTTTGTGAACTGTTTCCCATTGAAATACCAGTAGTCTTCCGACCGATGGTTAGGATAGTTTCCCTGCCTCACCGTAGATGAGGCCCGCAACTCGGGCCTCTGGGTTCCCAGTTTTGGGTGTTTCACTTGTTCGGAGGGGTCGCTCCCTTGCTCGTTTATTGTTGACAGGGGATCGATACTTCGTCAGCGAAAACTGGATGCCAAAAAGCGACTGAGATTTCTCTTTTGCTGACACGAACCGGGCGTTTCCGGTCCCGACCATTCGATGAATAGCGATGAATCATTTTGGTATTATCAGCAACAAAGTCACCACGCCTTGGCATCCGATTTGGTTGGCCTCGGCCTTAGGATTAGTCACCTGGCTCAGGCTCGGCTTAGCCACTGTCTGGCTGTACCGCTTCAGCTTAGGAGTTTCTTAATTTACTTACACGATACTTACTCATTGTCTATCTCAGCTCTAAAAGAGAGGAGTAGAGAGTCATAAGGCTTCCTCATTTGGCAGGTTTGCTATGCTAGGCGCGTCTGGTCATATGACATCAGGAAACCACAACCAAGGATGATATGCCATCAACCACCGCTCGTTCGCCGAAAGGTCGCGCATCTCTTGCGAGAAAAACAGCCCTCAATCTAGGCAAGCCAACGCGGCCGCTACGACCTCTCGAAATGAATGGCCTGAGTCGGTCTCCGCGGCGGGTGCCCAATGTTGCAAGTCCAAACTCGACCTCAAGACAGAGCGCAGACTCCGGCTTGGGAAGTTCGGAGAGTATAATGGAATTGGACAATGTTGCTCTCGACGCGGAAGAGGATTTGTGACTTGACGAGAATTTGACCAAATTACGCATTTTTAGAAAGGTAGGTGTTTTTTACTACTGTGTGACGAGCCCATGAAGCCAACTCCTTACACAGATAAGGCGACAAGAATCTTCCATGACAATATCCGAAAAGCTGGCCGCAGTGGAGGCGGAAGCCGCCGAAGCACACCGGAACCCTCCCTCCCCCCATGCCGACACCATAAGCAAGAAGAGGAAATATGGCGCGAACGCTGCGAAGACCAGGAAAGCCAGCAGACGACGTTCCGCACTTAGTCCTGAAGAGCTAGCTGAATTAAAGGGCTTGGAATAGGTGTGTACGGCATTAGTATAATGATTGCTGTTGGATAAGAGCGTAAGCAGTAGATGAGATCACATGGTGTGAGAAGCAGCTATCCACTTCTAATTACTGTTCGATTCGAGCTCATCCTCTCACTCGTGCGCCAGGTCGCCCCAAGATATTCCGAGCACGACAGTCCCATGTGACACCTTCACATGTCGTGTCTGGCGTGAAACAGTGAGAACATGATCTCAATTCAAAGTTCTTCTCTACACTCTTCTCGCGGCTCCTGCTCTGCTTGGCGCCATTGAAATTCCGGCGGAGCGTGTTCGCTAAGAGGACAGCCATATCTAGGAATGCAGTGCTCGAAATTCGTCCACATACCCGTCTTGGCGATTTGCGCAGCGCCCCTAGAGGCAGCGTAGGCGTGCTCCTCTGCGGTACGGAGGTATTCCTCTGCCTTGATCTTGTCGTTGTGGGCGAAAACCTCTCGAACGAGCTGCAGAAATTTCGGTCGTGTCACCCCTGTGCCATGCAGAATGAGGAGATCTATCGGCTCTGCACCGTGTCGCGAGAAATGAGACACACGGTCTTTGACCCAGCTCCAATAATGATCAGGATCTTGAGCATCTAGAGAGTCAGTACCACCATCGAAGTGATCTTCTGTCATATTTTCAGAGATGGCGATCAGTCCCTCATTGCGGTACATTTGGTGGAGGCCAAAGTAACTTGCATCAAGTTGGATGCTGAGGAACGAGTGGATGAGGCGACCGTTATACTTCTCGCACTCGATGTCAGGAATCTGATGCGTTTCATTGACGTGGATTCCATAACAGTGTTGGAGCTGGTACAAGCCGAGGAGTGCCGCTCTGGACTCATCCAACCGCCTAGATTGGAAGCCGTGCAGCCCAGCGCCCGAAAGGAGCGGATCAATAACGCTGACAGCATAAGTCGAATCTATGACGAAGTTAGGAATGGCGAGGAATGCAGTGCGATGCTGAAGGTGGTGGATAGTGGACGCAACGGCGAATAGAGCTCGAATCATATCTGATATTGGCTCGAGAGTGGGTGAGACGCTCTGTGAGTGGTTTGCCGGGGTGTGAGAGTGGAATTGTTGCAAGAATGAACGCCACACAGGCATCCAAGATGCCGTGCTCTCGCTGGTCTCGGGCTCCAAGCGTCTTAAATAAAATGTATCAGCATCCTGGGGGCCTGGGAGCGAAGGTGAATGGTCCGTACATGTCATGGTGTGGGCGCGTTGATTTCTGGGTCATGTCCATCCTAGAGAGATCTCTCCATGCAGCCAGATACCCAGGTGTCCCAGGAATGATTCCAGCACTCGTTGATGATCCATTGGAGAAAACAAGAGAAACGGATCTATAGAGACTAAGTACTTGCTCGCCTCGAAGAAGCGTTCAGCTTAGTCTTACCCATAGTCAGGGGATAGTGAGAGCCCGACCCCTGTGGAGAAAGCAAAGCGGCCAGCATCTGAATTACTCATTGCTGATGCGGCAGATGTAAAGCGAACTTACCTGCAGCCTCTTGCAAGTCTAATGATCGACATTCCGAGCAGACTTGAGTACCAGAAATCGGCAGACACAGGCAGAGTATGTTGAGAGCGATGAAGATACCTGAGGTGCAGCTACCGGACAGAAGCCGAGGACGCATTTTGTGCAATGATAATTTGGTAGAGAATGCTCCATCGCCACATTCAAGGAAGCGTGAGATGTCTGTACAAGTACACACAGACGGCGAGGTCGACTGGCCAGGGCTGGGCGGAGTGGCCTTTATGCTAGCCAGTCCCCTGCCAAGAACTGCCGAAACCGCACAGCCTCCTTGGGCTATTGTTGCCACGTGCTTCTCAGCAAACATAGCCTCCTCAACTTCCATCTGGCCTCGAAGGATAAGTGCTGCACCCGGACTCCAGCTGCACAAAGCCTGGGTGCAAATTTGACGATGATGTCCTATCATGAAACACACCAGATCTCCCATGGCGTTGGCATCCGCCGCAGCGAGAGTACCAAAATACGCTCCTCCATGTTGACCTCCCAGACCGCTGTCCCAGAGTTGGCACCGCCGTTGTCTAGGCCAGACCGGCGTCAGATTTCGCCAAAATATCTATGAACGTGCCGCCGACCATTCACTGAAACTCGCCCCAGAGGGTCTCAGGCGTTTTACAGCTCAGATGTTGTATTTCGCGACGATATGGAGAATGGGCTGTATTCTTGTCTACAGCTGAATCGCAGAACATGCAACCAAGACAATCTCGCTGCATGCATTTAACGGTATCGAGCTCAAGTCGATTCTACCGTCGGGCTCTGAATCGGCAGATAGCTGTCTCCTCCGAAAACGCCTGCTGGGCCCCCACAAGCAACCGCTATGCCCGCGGGTGTAAAAGTAATACCACCAATTTTGTCTTATACGCAGCGCCACGAAGCACCTATACAGCGACCTCCGCCGTCGTTTCGACAGTATCAAGTCCAGATTGTCCAAGCCCCTGACCGGTTTTCCTTCATACCGCGCGATTAGGTGTTCACGGTACCGTGTCAATCAAGATTCTCGCAGATAAAAGAGTGCCTTTCTCACGGCTCAGAAAACAGCAATGGCTCTGAATAACTCCTCAATCCCCATCATGAAGCGATATCATCCTCAAGCACATTATCTTTTGGCTTTCTTAAAGCGAAATGCACATCGTACAACTCCATGCATTCTCGGCTTTTCTTTTCCTATCCATGAGTCAGGCAATACCATTTGCCCAAAGACTCTCGCACCTTGAATCTCGTGAAGCTGTTGCCATACAAGGGAGCACCCGAATTCCCGATCAGTTGTCAGCAGAGTATGATGAAGTGGAAGGGAATTCCTTTTTTGCGATCGAGAGGTCCTGCAAAGGCGATACCCGGAATATTGCACACGGGAGAGGCTTCAAAGATCGTCGAGACTATTACGTCCAAGCTGTCAAGGATATGACAGCTATCGCCCATTCCGCTCAAAAATGGCCTCAACTTGGTACCGATGCCTCGGACTTGTATTTCGGCAAGGGCGCCGATGACGAGCAGTATTCTAAAGATATAGTTGGTATGGCATCCCCGTGTTCTGACATCCGAGACCTCGACTAATCTTTCAGCAAAATTTCAAGGCAGCCGCAAATTGGGCGCACCCACGGTGGGGCTTCGATCCATATATCGTAAGTCTTGCAGCCCAGACTCGCAACATTTTTCACTGTCCACTCTCTAATGCTAGCAGACCCTAACTTGTAAGTGAATAATAACACCAAACCGAGGTGCAGTTGCTCAACTCCTCTAGGTAGCGACCCAGAGGGGAGATGCAACAATAAAATAGGAAAAGATCCCAGGTTAGTACCACGAAATCCGGCCAATTCATCCTGATTCATGAGATGCAGGAGCATCGGATGCTACGTCAATAACACCGCAGACCTATTCTCTACGATTTCCCGCGTCTCTTGCTGTGGAACTTTCTTCACAGTACCGACGATCGATGAAGTTTTCGACGAATATAAATCTGCAGACCCAAGCACGCTTCATCTAGATTGGATGAGAACAGGCGGGTCTTACCTGCTGCATGAGTTGATGCATACAACAAAGATCACGCAGACCCGGCCTCATAGTGAGTTCGCACATCTCACCGTCTAAAGGACCTTCTAAATGTCTTCAAGTCATTGACCAAGTATTTGATGGTGGAAAGCGCATCTATGGGCCGAAGGACTGTGCCAAAGCCGCAAAATCGCAGTCGCAAGGAGGCGTAGGGCTTGATATCACGACAAAGAACGCAGACAGTTACGCCTCGTTTGCCATAGGTACGGACATGCCACTATAGAATTGATCAATGTGACGGCTCTATTCTGGACAACAGCTTACCAAAAGTCCCTTCTAGCGATGTACTGGAAAGACGTCTTCCAAGGAAATGCCCCACCACCCGCGGCCGACAATGAACAACCGCCTGCAGGTATTCCAGACTTGCTGTCTGACAACGATGCCTCGAATATCGATTTCTCATCCCCCGACCCTACGCCGGTCTGCGCTGGCACCCCGGCTGACAAGCCTTCAGCGTCTCAATCCTGGATTGCTGGGAAAATCACCTCTTACTGCGAGCAGATCTCATCAAGCGGATGGGTAGTGAATTCTACACTCGGCCAGTACGGTCCAGTCGGCTACGCTGCTGGAGATACAACACCTGCCTCGGCGAATGATCTTTGGATCTCTGCTTCATTCGACCCCAGTTGCAGCCAGGATACTGGGTACCAAGTCGACATCAACGAGTGCGAGAAGTTCTTGAACATTGTGTTGAATGGATGCAACACCGATAGTGTCGATGCAAAGTACGGTGGACAGGTCGAAGGGAACTGCGCTCTGTGGAATATCACCACCCGCATGGGTCACAATCCGACTCCTCCAAACGGAATTCCCCCTTCACCACTGGATTTTCCTAATGGGAAATGAAGCTAGCGCTGTGCATAGGAGTTTTCCAATATTTGACACAACCTCCAGCACGATCATGAGAATCGAGTCTGGACCGTACTTTATTTCCAGCTGCAGCAAGGAGTTCCTGAGGCGTATAGTGATAGAATACAATAAGGTAGAAACATATAGTGTACCCAACACTCGTAAATCTATTTTTGTAGGGTGAGAGTAAATACTTGCTTCAGACTTGACTAATTTTGAGTAGGAAAGCTGAGAACGGAGAGTAAGATTTTGTGGCTAGCACAGGCCGAGGTTTGAAGTAAAGCGCCTGATTTTAAGTCGTAGCTCCATCAGACGGGATGAGGTCCTCCCGAGGGCTACTAGAAGCAATAGCAGGCATTGTTACCATCAGTTTCCTTGGCTAAGAGCGCACAGCTCTGTTTCAAGGTGGTATTGAAGATCAACAGTCTGAAATGCCTTCTTAAGTTCCTAATTCCTTTCAGCTTCGCAGTATAATTCCTGATGGCACGTGGATCGGCGATCGCGGCAAGGCAGGAGGCACTGATTTTCCACAACCTGTTTTTCTCGACAACGACACGATCTTAAAAATATCTGGTATAAGTCTGAGAGTTTTGGGCGATGGTCTTGCAGTCAAAGATACCCACCCTAGGGCTCGTGACAGGAATGAAGTCGTACGAACCTGGACTGACATAATACTGTGACAACTCTCGGAGCCCTCCCGCGTGACCTTTCAAGCCATTCAAAACTTCCTGGGGGTCATTTTGATCCCTGGCCCCCGTTCAAGGATGGCCGTACAGAAACTCAAGGAAAAGCACGGCACCGCAGTTGCGCTGACGAGCCTCTTCGATACCATGGGCGCCCGAAATTCAAGAAGCAACGGACCATGACGATTCTTCCTCCTCCAAGACGGAACGATGGGCCTAGTAGCGGCACACTCGCAGCTGGGGGATCTGATCTTCGTACCATATGGCGAGGAACAGCCCATTGTGGTTCGGAAAACCGAGACGAAGGGACAATTTAAATACATTGGTGTTTGCTATGTGCATCGCGTCATGAACGGGGAGCGCTTTAGGGAAGCCCCCCGTGAATGTACCGTGCTGGAGCATAACCGTCCGATCCGAAGTCCTGCGGATTTGTTGGAGCGTCAGCGCAATTCCTTGCCTTTTCTGACTCTACCGGCAGCCTCGCTGTCGCCACTCCAGCTTATACAAAGTCAGCCTCGCCGCCATCGAATGAGTTCTTGCAGAGTTCCCAGCTGAACTCGACGTCCAGGATTTCAAAGTGGCAGTTCGGCAGCACCTAAATTGGCTGGACCGCCGCAATATCGACGTCGATTACTCGTACTGACGGGCATAGGTCGGCTGTCTCGATAGCCCAAATGCCGCTCTCAGCACCTAGGTCGAGGATGTTTCGAGGCTCCGCATGAATGGGGGAGAGATGTAGTCGTCCTTCATAAAGCAGAAAGAACTTATAGTGCTGGAGGTCGTTTCGACCTTGCTCTTCGTCGTCAATGGGAAGGCCGTAAAAGTGTCGCCCATACGAAGCCCAGCGGCGACCGTATTCCTCGATGCCGTTGCAAATCTCTGATGCTATGCTGCTCTCGGGGTGAGCGAGCAGAGGGTCAGAGGCCTGGCGTGCGAGTCTCTTACCTGGTCATATAGCTCGAGTCCGTTGAAGCACTCTCGTAGCCCTCATCCGCGACGATGTCCCCGTCAGCCTCCATGTGAGATAAAGAAAGCAGCTCTTTTTTTATGTTTTATTTCTTAAAATAAATAATATTATGTTGATTTGAAAAGGCAAGAGAAGAGTATCCAAGAATGCCTCAGTTGCGGAGATGGAAGAAGCCCTGTTGGAGGGAGCGACGGGGGTCCTTATACATTGGGGGCGTAGGAGCGGTAAGGTTTGCGATTTTATTGCTTGAGAGGCACGGGAAACCCATTCCCGCGCGCATCGTGCAGCGCCTAATACAAGGTATGGTATGGGTGAGTTCCACTGTCCAAGGCACTAGGCTACAGAGGCACCGAATCCCAGCCGGGCTGGAGGTAAGGCTCGACCCGTAGGCACCTGCCACGTGCAACGGAAACGTGCCCAGCATCCTTAGCTTCCAGTCAAAGTTTTGGCACGTCCCGGGCTTTGTAGCTTGAGGGGAAGCGCCCCGCGCTCTCACGAAAGATTTCCCATTCTCCAACCACCATCAACTTGGATCTGAAGGATGCTAAGCCAACCGTCTCGGCTTCACTGCAGCTGATGGTTGGGAGGAACAAGAGTGGGCCCCTGTGGGCCGAGTCTAGCCAGAAGATGCGGGTCTCTCCCGTTTGTTGTGCGCGTACAGTGAGGGGACCGTTTCTGGGTCCCTACGCTTCGGGGCTTCTTTTGGTCCCTGGGAGTATGGCAGAGTGAGGCGCCCAGAAACGCTAGATAAATCCCTTGTTCTTGGAATACGGCTTCCGGACTATCTGCTATTTATTTTGTTCCTAAATTATAGTGAACTGGGGCGAGGCTACTAGCCATGGGCATCAACTCGTACGGCGGTGGGTATGGTCTCTTCTCAACGCGCACACTTAACTAGGGGAAGTCCTCTCTGTTGGTAACTTAGTTACCTGTGTATTGTATGAAAGATAGTCCCCCAGAACTATATAAGAAGAATTATAGTCTAGGATCGGCGCCCCAGCTAATTATAACGCTATCCATCACTTCTAACTTCTCTCATTATATTCCTCTTATTATCGCTCGCTTTCTTAACGGCCTCGCTTAAGATTTAACTATAATCTTCGCCTATCCTTCTCGAAAATATTAATTCTTTTTTATGTTCTTTAAACGCTCTACGAAGTTATCTAATTATCTCCTATCTAATTCCTTCGAACTCGAGCCCTTTAACGCCCCTAGATCTTCACTACGCTTCGGTTTACGTATAATTATCTTATAGATCTCTAAGGCGATAGTGAAACGATCCTCGATATCGACTTAAGTATTAAATAAGATTATTTATAAGCGAGTCGTTTCATAAGTTTCCGCATTAATGATCGCTAGAGAATTCTTAATCACCTAGAGCCCATAACTACTAGTGTTCTACTAAAGATTAGATTCTAGGCGTATTTCCCGGGGTGAAATACTAAAAACGCTATTCTTTAACCACCGAACGAAGAAATCGAGTGCCATCTTAGTCGTATCTAATCTATCTTATGTCGAATTAATGACTAAGTACGACTATGTTGTCTCATCGACTATAAAGATTAGCTAATGATACTCTTTATCTATTAGGTCGTCGTTAAAGATAATAAGTCGTCTTATATCATCGTCGACGTTTCCCTAGGCTTTAAATTTCATCGGTGCGTTTACGTTTCTACATTAGTTAATCTAGAAAAGAAACGCGGCGCCTAAGATAATAATACATCTTATATATAATTCTTTCCGGCTTACTATAATTTTCGCATCGATGAAAGACTAATTAACTCATCCGTTATATCTAGAACTTAGTAGAGCGCTCCGAAGAGCACTACTCGAGATATCGATAGCCTTATAGTCGGGATAGCTAGGTAAAACTCAGTAATTTATCGTTCCGAACCTTTCTTCCCACTACTTTATTAATTATTCGAGATTCTTTATAGAATCTTTATAAGGCGCAGCGATTCTTTCTAATTCTTCTAGATATAAGGCGATTCCTTTCTCGGCTATATATAGATAGATGAATATATATCGACTAGATATATATCTAGTAAGTAAGCTTAATACGTTAATTATCTTTTTAGCTCCGAATTCGTAGTATCGTTATATATCTTTACGACTAACTAAGAGTATATTTCTTCCGTAATTCGTCTATCTTATTGTAATGGGAGAAGTTAGAAGTGGTGGATAGCGTTATGATTAGCTGGGGCGCCGACCCTAGACTATGATTCTTCTTATATAGTTCTGGGGGACTATCTTTTATATAATATATAAGCAACTAAGTTACTAATAGAGAGGACTTCCCCTAGTTAAGTGTGCGCGTTGAGAAGAGACTATACTCACCGCCGTACGAGTTAATGCCCATAGCTAGTAGCCTCGCCCTAGTTTAGTGGTGCCACCAATAAGATCTTCGACGAATACTTATAGATAGGCGTCTCTCTACGAGCGGTGAGAGAAAATTACGAAAAATAACTAAAATAAACTACTTACTAAACTAATAGAACTAAAGAACTACCTACCTATCTATCTAACTAAATCTAGAGAAACTAACTGTATATATAGAACCGCTGCGCAGGGTATACTATTTAGATCACTAGCTAAGTAAGTCTATCCCGCTATACGGAGCGATTTACGCTGGCTGTTCATGAAGACCGCTACTCGGAGTGCCTTTTGAGATTACTAACTATATATATGTTAAGGATCCCTACTGATCCTAACTGGGTTAGGGTTCTCAGCAACAATCCTAGAGTAGTATGAGCTGGTTGGGGAAGACACAAGGTATGAGCAGGGTTCTCTGTTACTAAGAACTGTATAGTCCAGTAGGTAACATGAGTTGGCTACGAAGAGAGTGTAACTATCTAGGGTAATGAGGGTGTATATATAATGCTTGCGCTCTGTGCGCTCTGTGCGCTCTGTGCGCTCTGTGCGCTCTGTTGACAGAGCCAACAGGGCCAACAGGGCCTGTCACGTGATCCAGCCTTGTTCCTCCGCGGATCCTTCTAGGTGTTCAATGGGCGTGATGAGTCGTGCTCGTGCGACTCGCAATCGGTCTTCCGTAAGGCTGTGTCTAACAATATATTTACTACCACTATATAGAGTGAAGATTAACGACTTAACGACTATTTAGACTACCTAGAAGAAATGGGAGAGAAGTATCTCCCAGGAATATAGGAATACGTTTAACTCTAAAAACTCCTAACTTAAGAAGCTTAGAAGAAGTCGAAGAACGCGGATCTACTTAAGAAATAATAAAAATGAGCGGTTGAACTAGACTCGCTAAAATGAGCGAAGTTAGAGCGCTACTAGCCGGAAAGTAGATCTAGGATTTTAATAAAAATTACTAGTGAAGATAAGAAAGAAGCTCGACGAGAAAGTCGATAAAGAGATAAAGAGAAAAAGAGAAAAAATAATAAAATATCTAAATCTTTTAGTTTCGTCATTAAAATTTTACACTATTTCGATTATAAGAGAAGAAGTAAGAATAATTTAATAAAGAAAAATATCGTCTACGGAAGAATCGAATAATAAAGGAAAGCTAAAATCTTCTACGATGTCGAGTATTAGCTTATAAGATCTATCGACGTCGAATTCGACGATATAATCGTTATACGTCTCTCCTACCGTAATATTAATAAGAGAAATATCTTAGAGCTTAAACGAAAGTAATAATCTTCTATACTTTAATAAGAAGAATACTATCTCTTTCTTCGAGGAGTTTAAAGAACTATATAAATATAACTAGATTATATTAAGCGAAGAACGTATTCGTAGATCTATTCGCTTTATATCTAAAGTAGAGAAAGAACGCTATAAAGAGCTCGCTAAGTATAACGTAATAGAGTGAGAAAAGTTTAAAGAGAAGATCTTAGATGAATATAAAGATCGAAACGAAGTATAGCGAATAATAAGTATTTAATATCTTTAGATACTCGCGAAGTATCGACGGAAGAAGTCTTAAAGTCTAGAGCTATATCTCCGTTAATTTCGTAAGGCTACGACTTACCTAATTAAAACCGAAGCCGAGACTAACTATACTTACTATCGCCTTCTTTTATTAAGATTACTAAAGACTTATATAGATAAGATTCGAAAGAAATAAAATTTAATAAATCGAAAGCCGAAGAATTCGAACTTTTAGAAATACTAGAATTAAATAAAAGAACTATAGAATATTAATAATGAAAATAAGAAATTTACGTAAGGAGTACTCGACGAGAAGTTCTAAGAATTAGCGTACGAAAGGAAGACTTAACCTTTAGCCGTTCGAAAGAAAGAATCGTAAGAATAACGTCGTCGTAAGGATCGTACGAATAGTAAAACGAAGTTCGATAGAAATACTTCATCGCTAGTAAATCGACCTTTTACCCCTAAGAGAAATAATTAATCGATGAAGAAATTATCCCGTTTAATAGAAGTATTAACACTATCGATCTAGACGCGGAACGCTATTACTCTAGACTTTATAACTCGACTAATTAAGACATTAAAGGGCGTTTCTTAGAAAGCGATTTAGTTCTTACGCGACTAGTAATTCTAGAATCGTTCGATTCGGTTCGAAGAAATATCGTAGTACTACGATAGATAGCCTAGTCGACGAGATTCGAACTTAAGTAGTTCTAGAGAAAATTATTTTCTTTATAACTAGCTAGGATACGTATTACGAGATAACTCTTAGTGAATATACTAGAAAGCTATAAAAGCGTTATACCTTAATTCGGAATATAGAATCGCTCTTAGAAAGTTCCGAGATTAAGATTATTCTTTATCTACTCTACTAATTTCTACGAGAGAGATAAAGATAGAAAGATTAGAATAAGTTACGCGAGAGATTAATAAGAATTCGGGAGTTACGTCCGAATAATCTTATAGTATACGAGACTCTAATCTTACGCTACTAGAAGTGAGATTAAGTATTATCTACGTAGCCGAATCGAGACCTAATTACGCTGCCCTAGACGACTTCGAAGATAATTTCCGTGTCTCGAATACTATAGATTTAAAAGGAATTCGTGTAAACCAGCTCTAGAGTGAAGCTTACGTAGATGCCCTAGGAAAGCG